AACAATATATTATGCCACTTTGGGGGGTGTGGTGCTTCATCCTTGACACATTCCAGGTGTTCTGCATGTTCTGGGTCCAGTGTTTGTGGAAAATATGGCAACTCAAAAAGACAAGTTCAGGGAACCCCTTAACATCCCTTAACAATAGCAGGCACTTAAATAAATGTTGGTTAGATTGGATTGGATTGGATTAGATTGGATTGCCATCTCAATTTAATTTTGTTTATTTGTGTAATTTCTTAAGAAAAAATAGATTTTAAAATTATACATAGTTAGCATGGAATTAGAACCCAGGTCTTTACTACACCATTCTCTTATCTTCAGAGCTGATTAAGACTGAGAGTTTTTCCATTCTTACTTAGTTTCTGTAGCCAAAGCATTGGACCTGTCTAAGAGTGTACAATGAGGAACTTTGTTGTTGAAGAGTTAAACCCAGAGTTTAAAATTTTTCTTATTGTCTAATTAACAAAGTTCCTAGATTTGTATTGTTTTGAACTGAATCTTAAAAAATCCATGTGCTTCCTGCAAAATAACAATTATATACAATTAAAGCCAGCGTTGTTCCCTAAACAGGTACTCTGAGATATATATATATATATATATATATATATATATATACATATATGAATGAAGAAAAAATCAGTATTGAATATTTTGAAATAATTTATTTTAAATCATCATTAAGAATCAAGGAAGACCAGACAAAATGTATTATTTTATGGTTCATTATGGTTAAATGCACAATACCGAGTAAAATATGAAACCAAACAACTTCAAAGGTATATTCATCAGATCAAGGAATTTAAAACTATCAGTTTGCACCCATTCACTGCTGAAAGGGATCATATGAAAGAGATTTTGTAACAAGATAAAGGAAAGAAAAGATCTGTCTGAACTTAAGATATGGATTCCATTTTGTTTCACACTTGGTTTTAGTCTTAAGGTCAAAATATGCAATGTACTGACAGATGTGTTGCTTTTTTAAAGTTTATCCATCTGCATACCTGCTTAGAAAAGTGCTGGTAAACACAATATAACATAATGATCTCATAAGAAAGGTATTGAGTCCAACTCTTTAAAATCTCATATCTTAGGAAAATAGAAAGAAGTATATACAATCTTTCAAATGTCACAATGCCCTCCATGCTTCCATCCTCCCTTGAAGTCAGCAGTGAGAGGAACAAATGGAATGACTCTCTTTTTGTACGAGTTTCTTAAAGAAACATCACAAGATCTCAGGATTCCACTGAACTACCGGGACTTCTGACCAAAGCTAATATATTAATGAAAAAGCCACAGGTTTTGCTCATTAGCCCAAAAATAAGTATTTAAAAAATCATTTGTATTTGTATTTTTAAATGTGTCTTTGTATTTTATTTGTATGTTTAAATTAACATTTGAAAATATATTAATTTAATACTATTAGTAGCAAAAATAAAGTGTATGAGAGGGTGATTTTTTTCTTTCACTCCTTTCCATCATCTATACATCTTCATATGATCTGGGCAGCTAGGTGGTTCAGTGGATAGAGCTCCGGACTTGAGTCAGGAAGATCTGAGTTCAAATGTAGCCTTAGACACTCACTAGCTGTGTGACTCTGGCCAAATCACTTAACCTCTGTTTGTCTTAATCCAATGGAAAAGGAAATGGTAAACCACTCCAGTATCTTTGCCAAGAAAACCCCACGGACATCATTGGTGTGCTGGGTCCACGAGGTCATGAAATGTCAGGCACGTCTGAATGATTGAACAACCATTTATAATGAAATTATCTTTTTTGTTTACAGCCTCTCTAGTCATTTCTAAGAGAGGGTTTTGTGTGGTCTTTCTTGTGCTGGTACCATCAGGATTAATCTTTAATGTTTGAAGAAGAATAAGATAGTGGACCAAATGTTGATATCTAGTGTTTTACCAATAACTCTCACTTGGTTATTTTACACACACACACACACACACACACACACACACACACACGTATGTAGGTTTACACACATATAATGGCATTTTATTGAATGCCACTGTCTATAGGCATTTATTGAACTTAGACAGGACTCATTTTGGATACTCAGCCACTTTGATGTTCAATTTCACAACAGTCAAAAGAGCTTTTGTTGGCTTAGCAAGAATTCTAATGATTCAACCAAGGGTCTACTTTGTAAAATTAAAACAATATTCTTTTTCTTTTTCTACTAGTTCATAAAGATTATGCAGTTTACAACTATTTGACAGTGGCAATAAAAAGAATTAAGCTTCCAAAAATTGAAGTCTTATTGACTGGCATGTGTTTGGAAGTATTTCTTTCCCCAGAATTTTAAAAAACAAGGTATATAAATGTCAATTTGTCTTTGAAGTTAATTTCTTCCTCCATCTGTCTCATATACTTGGTGTTGCTCTGAGGAATGGGTTTGATGCCACTCAAGTATGCCTTTCCTGTTTTTGTTACCATCTAATTCTTCCAAAGAGGTCAGGACATTTGTTTTAAAGGTTCTGGCTTCTAACATAAAATCTGTATTCTTCAGATTATTTGAATTTGTCTGACCACATTGAAGTATCCACATTGAAGTGTCGATTTTATTTTGTCATGTTGGGTCAATGTATCAGCTACAGTCAAATTTTTGTATTGACTTGATAATGGCTGGAATTTAAATAGTGTTCTGAAGTTTATAAAGCACTTTATGTTATTTTGTTATATACATTTATTTTTATTTCATATTCACAATTATGCTGTGAGAAAAGTACAACATAGGAAAATTAGATAAGAATCACACAGAATAGTAAGCTCCTCATTGCAATCCCCATTTTACAATAAAGAAATAAAGGTTCCAAATGATTAAGTCACGTGCCCCTGGTTACAAAACTTGCTGGTACCATAGGCAATATTCATTCTGTTCCACTCTACTGCCTTCCCATAGTTCTCAGAGGAAGTTTTTCAATTTTCTTCCTTAATGATCAATCTCCATCAGATCATGAGTGTTTGATTAATCAGCCATAGAATATAAGTTTCTGGAGGACAGAGACTATTTTTCATTTTATCTTTGTCATCCCAGTGTGCCTTGTACATAGCAGCACTTAAATAAATATTGGTTAGATTGGATTCAAACAACATTGCAAACTAATTTTGTTTATTTGTATAATTTCTTAGAAAAATATTTTGAAATTATACATAATTAGCTTGGGACCAGAACCCAGGTCTTTACTGTAACATTCTTTCATCTTCAGAGCCTGATTAAGACTGAGAGTTTCTCCATTTTTACTTAACTTCTGTATCCAAAGCATTAGACAAATTTAGGAGTGTACAGTGAAGAACTTTGTTGTTATAGAAAGAACTAAACCCAGAGTTTAAAATATTCTTTTATTTTCTCATTAACAAGGCTACTAGATTTCTGTTGTTTTGAACTGAATTTTTAAAAATTCATGGACCTGGGCATCTTGGTATTTTACCTATTTTACCTTGGTATTTTACAATGTCCTTGGCCTCCCACTCAGGGTTGGCAGACTAAAAGAGTACATTTCCATTTGCCAGAATCCTTGGCACTCACAGATGTACCACATTAGTTATCTAAACAGTATTGATAATAGGCCTTTGTAGAGAGCAATTTTTTTATTATCTGTACAGTATGTGGCAGCCTAGATAAAAATAATTGACAGGCAGATTAATCAAAGATGAAGTACATTACTTTGAGAAACAACTGAACAGTGTCAGAAAATTTTCCATTTTAGCTCAGGCTGCCTCCATTAAGCATAGGACTTTCACTCATTATATTCCCATGAAACTCTGCATCAGGTCATAAGGGAAAAGAAAATGGAAAAAATAGCAGCCACTTAGGCCTTTGGGACCGGAGGCCATATCTGCATGAAACAGACTGGGTGTCTATAGAATGCAGAATCAACTGGTCAAGAAACCATTGAACCAAGAGGGCTATTCAGGGCTAAATGGCTCTTTGGTTGACTTCTTTTCTTAAAAATGAATTTTGGAGTTTCGTGATTTTGGTATCATGTAGACACAGCCAAGGAGGCAGAGTAATTAGAACACTGGAGCGAGAGTCAGAAAGACCTGAGTTCAAATCCAACTTCAGACACTTTTAGTGCACAGCACAGTGCTTGACATGGAGTAGACTTTTAACAAATGTTTACTGATTGACTGATTGGCTTTATGACCCTGAACAAGTCACTTAACCTTTTTTTGCCAGTTTCCTCATCTGCACAATGGGGATGATATTAACACTACCTCACAGGGTTGTTTTAAGGATAAAATGAGATATGATTTATAAAGCTCTTTGCAATATTAATGCTAGCTATAATTTAAACTCTGTGGGCTCAAGTACATATTGGGTAGAGAGTAAGTCTTCTGGATCTGGCGTGTCAGCAATGTAATTTGATTCACAGCAGAATTATCACAGTTGTGATACAGGAACAGAACTCTGGATTTCTGAGTCTTCCCTCTTCATAATATCTTGTGTAGGGTCAAAGAGGTAGAGCCAGAAAGAGACTGAGAAACTGTATTTAGTCCAATCCTTTCAATTTACAGACGAGGAAACTAAGGCCCAAGAGGTTAAGAGATTTGCCCAAAGTCACATAGATAACCATTTGAGGTGCAATTTTTACTCAGGATCTTTGACCAAAGGCGGCGTTCTCTTCCTCATAGGCCCTGAGGAATTGGGATTATTTGGAGATGAAGTGTAACTGACGAGCCAAAAGTTGAGGACCAAAATTGTGACAAAGGATCAGGAAGTAAGAGAAAACAAAAGAAATTGGAGGTGGAAGATTTGAAAGTGACAGGGAATACTATTTGTTCACCTACATCCCCTGTGCCTTCCTGGTAGCTCCCAAGTAGCCGAGATAATATGTTCATATGATCTTATGTTCTTAGGAGATTCCTCAACACTGTCTGGTACAACTTTCTTGATAAGAGTTTGGCAATGGGGGGCAGCTAGGTGGTGCGGTGGATAGAGCACTCACCCTGGAGTCAGGAGAACCTGAGTTCAAATTTGGCCTCAGACCAGACACTTGACACTTACTAGCTGTGTGACCCGAGGCAAGTCACTTAACCCCAATTGCCTCACTCCCCCAAAAAAATTGGCAATGGGGCACTCTCTTCATGTCCCATATGAAACTCTGAAAACTTTTTCCACAGAGTAGTTTGTGAAGAAGAGAGCTAGAGCGTCTCTTTAAACACCTTACTGTAGGCTGTATCATTGTCTGTGGCTATGGCATTTTTCAGACACTGCCAAAAATAAGGATGAGCCTGTGGGTTGGTGGGCCATTCGAGGACAGAGCTCTTGCACAATCTTTGTCTGAGTTGGAGGTACTTAGATCTCTGAAGAGCTTTTTCAAGAAATATCAGAATAATCACATCTAGTTTTTCATCCATAAGCCTTTGATGTGACAAGTAAAATGCTGTCTTAAAGTTCCCTGACTTGACATAGGCATTCGTCATCACAAATATTGTTTTTTTGCTTAGTTGTATACTCTGGGAAAGGTTTTCCAAAACTGGTTTTCCTGGCAACCAGTCTCGTTCTTCAAGACATAAATTGAATTGCTTATCTCCTCGGCTTTCAATGTTTACCATCAGTTCTTTGATAACCCATTCTCCCACCTTTGGATCGCTGGTGTCGTAAATAATAAAAGCATCATAGCAAAAATCTGTTGAAGAGAGACGTTGATATCCCCTCAGTTTGGCTTTACAGAAATGATAGCTATACCACATATCCCAGAAATACAGGTGGTTTGTGACTGGAACAACCGTCAGGCAAAGAATAATGAATACTGAGATAGAGTACAGAATAAAATTAGTCAAATCTAACTCACACGTATATAAATTGAGTGAAATCAAGCTCTGGCCTTTGTGTGCTCCTGGTCCTGCACAGGTCACTTCAGTGGCCAAATAAGGAATAGTGACCTCTGTTTGGTTAATCCACCACACCAACCATACAGCATCACAATTACACAAAAAGTGATTGCCGTGTAAAAGCAGCATATCAAGATGGTCAAGGACATTTTCTGGGAAGCTAGACTTCTGAATGACACGAAGATCATTCGAACTAAGGTCCAGATATCTCAACTGAAAAGCATCCTGGAGAAAATTCTTTGTCAGGCGATGGATGTGGTTATGACTAAGTATCAGTTTCTTGAGACTTTTGGAACAATTGGATAGTACTTCAGGAACAGTGGTCAGATGATTATAACTGAGATCCAGTGTTTCTAGATTTTTAAGACAGATGAGCTTGCCCCAGTTGAAAGACTTAAGATTATTTCTGGACAAGAAGAGAGTCTTCAGATTCGGAGGCATGCCCTCAAAAACTCCAGGAGGCAAAAAACTGAGGAAATTTTCAGAAATATCCAACTCCTCCAGCTTGATCAGATTCCTGAAGAGTCGCAAATATCGGTTATCACCATCTCTCCATAAAATATCTAAGTGGTTTCCTCGGAATTCCAGAATCCTTAAAGATTCACTTTCCATTTCTGTGCTGGTGGAGGTGGAGATATCATTCCCATTCATCATCAATTTCTTCAACACAGGTAGGTTCTTGGTGAAATTAAGCATGTGAGTAATCCCTTCTGACAGAAAGTAGTGACTGTTACCACTAATATCTAGAACTTCTAGCTCCTGCAGCTCCTGAAAAGCTGTTGGATGAAGCAAATCAAGTTTGTTGTTAGAGAAATCCAGGTATTTCAATTTTGCTAAAGGTTGGAATTCACTGCCATCGAGAGCCTGGCTAATGCTATTTCCTGATAAATTCAGGCACTTCAGGAAAAAAAGATCCTGGAAATCACTGGACTTGATAAAAAATATATTATTTCTGCTTAAATCTAGGGTTTTTCCATATGACTCACAGTTATTGTTGATCAGTGAGAGAGAAGGCTTCTCTTTGCTTTTAAACATGCAACTTCGGGCAAACTCATCATATCTGAAATAATGCATAGATTCATATACTTGGGAAGCATGGAACTCCGTAGAAGTCCTGGCCATTGAACAAAATCCATTTTGACTTGATTCTCCAGAAGGAGATATTTTATTAACAGAAAGATCAATGTTTTTCAGAGCTTGGAATTCTTTGAACACACCCAGGTCAGCAATTTTGATAAAGTTGGTGCCAAGATCTAACACTTCAAGCTGTGAGAGATTCTGTAAGGGTAAGAGGTTGGTTCTTCTCAATTCCGTAAAGACATACCCTTTGAGCCTCAAGATTTTCAGATTTTTCAATGAAGCAAATGCTTTTGACAAGTTCAAATAAGCACAGTAGAGCTGCGGTTCGTAATTAAAAGACAAGTCCAGTTTTATGAGACTGTCAAGAGAATACAAAAACTTGGCATCTCCAATTTCATTGACCAGGAAGTTTTGGGAAAGGTCAAGTTCTTCAAGTTTGTTAGTGTTTTTAAACCAACTCTTAGGTATATCCCGGAGTGAATTACTATGGAGACGCAAATATTTTAATTCAGTTAATGAATCAAAAGCATCTGGATGGATCTTTAATTGGCTATTATTTGGACAAGGGATACAAGGAAAGGGGACATTGAAACAACGAGGGCAATTTCCACTTAAGTCAAGAATTTGTAACTGGTAGAGGTTTTGAAAATCATCCTTTTCAATGCTTTGGATAATATTGTTATAAAGGTAGAGTTCTGTTAAACTGGATGGTAAAGTAGTGGGAACAGTAGTTAAATTGTTAGCCTTTAGGGATAATACTGTTAAATTCCTCAGACTCTGGAAGGCATCTTTTTCTATAAAAAAAGAAACATTGCAAGGATTACGGAAATAACAATTTTGGCCCAGATAGAGTATTTCTAGGTTGTCCAAGTCAGTCAGGTTCTCTTTGGTGATAGAAAAGATGTTGTTTGCTTCAAGACTCAGCAGCTGTAAGCTGGAAGGAAGGCCCAAAGGTATCTCAGAGAGTTGATTTGCATCCAAGTACAATGACTTCAACTTAGTGAGATTTCTAAAGCTCCCAAAACTGATATTTGGCTTCTTGGTGCATATGTGGTCTTTTGACCCTAGTCTGACAGGAACACAATTGCATCGGAAATCAATTTCCACCAGATTTTTCAGGCCATCAAAAGAGTTTGGGGAAATTTTGGGGATGTGATTGATGGTGAGGGTCAGGTTGGTTGTATTGTAAGGAATTCCTTTTGGGATTTCTGTGAGATGTTTATTAGTGCAATTGACCATCACACTGGCTTCCATAATGTTCTGAGTCACGTTACAAGGCAAGGTTTTAGGAAACCATCTAGCTCCAGGAAGTTTGTACCATAGGAACAGATGAAAGAGAACAAGGAATGGTCTGTATAATTCTTGCATGAGGAATATCTGAAAGAATAACAGAAAGAGAGAGCTAACAAAGAATGGATTCTGGGCAGATCCTAGAGAGATGTGAAATTAATTTCCATTTATTACATCCATTTTAACAATAAAGATTTTAACCAAACAGTTCCCATCTTCAAACAATCTAAGCCTTCATGGTGAAAGCACGTTCAGATTTTAAAATTCTTGATCATTCTATCTTCCTTGATACTTACTTCTTTCCAGGTTTTTGGAACACCACTCTTTCCTCGTTCTTCTCCTACCTGTCTGACTGCTACTTCTCTGTCTCCTTTGCTGGATTCTCTTCCAGATCATGTCTTCTAACCATAACTGTCTCTCACCTTCTCTTCTCCCTCTACACTACTTCAACTTGGAGAGCTCATCGTTAATGGATTTAATTACCATCTCTGTGATGAAGATTCTCAAATCTACCTATCCTAGTCTAGATGCTCTACTGACCTCCAGTCTCATATCTCCAACTGCCTTTCAGACCTCTTGAAATGGTTGTCCAGTAAACATCTTAAACTCAATATGTACAAAATGGAAATAATTATCTTTTCCCCTAAACCATCCTCCTTCTACTTTTGCATGTTATTGTAGAGGGCAACATCATCTGCCTAGTCCTTTAGGCTCTCAACCTAGGAGTCATCCTGGGTTCCTCGCCATGTTTCACCCCACCCATACCCAATCTTTTGCCTGTTGATTTCACCTTTGCAACATCTCTTGTATATGCTCCCTTCTCTCTTCTGACTCTACCACCACTCCACTGCTGTTCTTCATCACCTCACACCTGTCCTATTGCAATAACTGGTAGGTCTACTTTCCCCAAGTTTCCCCCCAAACCAATCCATCTTTCATTAAGCCTCTAAAGGGGTTTTCCTAAAACACAGATCTGACCATGTCACCTCCTTACTCAATAAACTCCAATGGCTCCCTTTCACTTCCAAGATCAAATACAAAATTTTCTGTTTGGCATTTAAAGCCCTCCATACTTAGCCCCTCCTAACTTTCCAGTCTTTTCACACCTTTCTCTCTGCCATGTACTCTTCAAACTAGTGACACTGGCTTTTTCCATGGCTTGTTCCATGAACAAGACACTCCATCTCTCAGTTCCAGGTATTTTCTCTGACTGTCCCCAATCTTTGGAACACTCTCCCTCTGCTTTCCCTCCTCATCTTGGCCTCCTGGCTTCCCTGGTTTCCTAAGTCTAAACTAAAATCTCACCTTATGCTAGAAGCCCTTCCCAACACCTTTTAATTCCAGTGCCTTCACTCTGTTAATTATTCCTATTAATCCTGTTTATAGCTTCCTTTGTATATATTTTTGCATGTTGCCTCCCCCATTAGATTGTGAGCTTCTTGAGGGCAGGTACTATCTTTTGTCTCTTTTTGTATCTTCAGAGCTTAGCACAGGGCCTGACATACAATAGGCGCTTAATAAATGTATATTGTTGCTTGAGTCAGGCCTTACAAGTGGATAGTCTCAGATAATTCCATTGTGTGATTTTAGGCACATCCCTAGTCTATTGTTAATATGGCTAGGTCTCTATTAGTGCAGTTAATTAATGGAGTGAAATGATAGCAAGATTTGAATTTTAATTACATATGTCCATTGGGCTAGAACCAATTACCATATTCTATATCTATATATGTATGTCTGTCTTCAAAAAGTGTAAATTCAAATAACATGACCACTTCATGGTATTCATTTTTTTCTTTTTCTTTTTTTTCTAGGCATATGGGGTTAAGTGACTTGCTCAGGGTCACACAACTAGTAAGTGTCAAGTGTCTGAGGCCAGATCTGAACTCAGGTCCTCCTGACTCCAGGGCCAGTGCTCTATCTACTACCCCACCTAGCTGCCCCCATGGCATTTATTATTCTCATTAATTGGAACCTAGCTAGACCTGAAATTCTACCATTAGCATTTTACTTCTTTGGGATTTTTTTTTGGGGGGAGGAGCAGGGAAGGACACATTAGTGTAGGAATCTCCTGGTGTGGAAACCTCCTTTACCAATTCTATGATCCTATTATATATAGAGTTCTTCCAGTGCGGAAATACCTTTCGTCAATGTAAATCGACAATTCCTCTGTAATTTAGTCTTAGTTAGCTGCCTAGAGCACTGAGAGGTTAAATGATTGCCAATGATCATATATTTAGGGTGTCTTAGAGGCAGTGTTTCAACTCTGGTGTTCTTTGCCCTCTATCTACTATGCTCTATTGCTTCTCACTGTAGGATCATAAATCTAGAGAAAAATGAAACAGTCTTTACCCTATGTCCTTATGCTTTTATTCACAGTGGATATAAAGGAGAGTAAAATAGGCAGCTAGGTGATACAGGGGATAGAGCACCTGGCCTGAAGTCAGGCTAACCTGAGTTCAAATCCTGTCTCAGATGTTTACTAGCTGTGTAACCCCTGGGCAGGTCATTTAACTTCTATCTGCTTCAATTTCCTCATCTATAAATAAGGATAATAATAGCACCTACCTCTGAGGGTTGTGAGGACCAGATGAGATAATAATTGTAAAGTGCATCAGCATAGTGCCTGGCACATAGTAAGTCCTGTATGCATACTAGTTATTATTATTATAGGGAATAATAGGATTATTGATCCAGGGCAGAAGGGGACCTCAAAGGCCATCTTAACAAAACCCTCCATTTTACAGATCAAGAAATCAAAATCTAGGGAGGTAAAAGCCTTTCAATTAGGTCATACAGGTAAGAAATTTCAGAGGGGCGACTTGAACCAAGGTCCTGTCACTTCAGAGTAAGTCCCCTTTTCACTGTAACACAATTGCCTCTAATGAGCAAAGATGGGATTGAAAATCAGACTTCTTTTTTAATTTAATTTTTTTTACTTTAGGAAATAAAATAAATAGCGTTTCTATGACATAGTATGATTAAAAAAAAGATGATTGCACACGAAACTGCAAATCTATAATGTACAACTTGCGATTCCAGACTTTTGGAATATAAACCCGATGGTCTTTCTACTATTTATTCTATGTGAGTGCCAAAACCCATGCCTTAATGTCTTTGAGTCAAGTAAGGTTAACTTGTTACCTTTGGAAGGGGGAACACATTAAGTAGTTTTCAGTGGTTAACAATTGGCTTGGATTAGTTTAGCTGATCTTTTTTTTTTCCTTTTTCTTTCTTTCTTTTTTTTTTTTTTTGGTTAGGCAATTAGGGTTAAGTGACTCACCCAGGGTCACACAGCTAGTAAGTATCAAGTGTCTGGTCTGAGGCTGGATTTGAATTGAGGTCCTCCTGACTCCAGGCCTGGTGCTCTATCCACTGTGCCACCTAACTGCCCCAACAGATCTTCTCCAAGAAGTAAGTGTATACAGCAGAAAATGAGAGAGGCAATAGCAGATCATTATTGGCAAGGAGTGAGGTGGAAGGGAGAGCCAAGGAAGTGCCTAATGAGGAGGGAACGTCTCAGTAGATGGAGACAGTCCAAGAGAGTGTGTAAACTTTGGGGAAGGAACGGAGATCAGGTGAGAAGGAGCTAAGAAGGGAAGCTTGATCAAAACAAAACTGCCTCCTTCATGACTTCCCAGGGCTCTCCCTGACTTGAAATTGGTTCAAAGTTTTATTTTGTCATTTAATCTAATGATTTTCATGGATATTTTACTTCCAAATAGTATCTGGAAAGGAAAAAGTTGTGGCTACCTAAGATTTTTGGTTTGATTGATTTCTCTTGTTTTAAATGACTGAAATTAGTCAGTTAGACAAAGCTAGGGATTCTATGAGCCAGAGTTGAGAGGCAGTGTGTTCCAAAAGTAAGAGAAAGCCAGAGGTAGGAGATGAAATGAAGAGTAAGGAAATGGGAATAATATAAAATGTGACCAGCAAGGTTGTTGTTTGGCCAACTAATCAGACACTAGTAGTGTCTGGCTCTTCATGATTCCATGGACTTTGTCCATAGGATTTTCTGGGCAAAGATACTGGCGTGGTTTGCCACCTCCTTCTCCAAAGAGTCTCCATCTTACAGATGAGGAACTGAGGCAAATAGGGGATAAATGACTTGCCAAGGGTCACACAACAAGTGTCAGTCTTGATTTGAACTTGGATCTTCATGACTCCAGGCCCAGTGCTCTATCCACTGTGCCATCTAGCTGCCCGACTGGCAAGGTAGTGAGAATCATATTGTGGAGGGCTTCGAATGTCATGTTGAGGAATTTGCATTTTGTTCTAGAAGTAAGAAGGAACTACTGAAGTTTTTGGCTTGTTTGAGTATCCAGAGAAAACTCACTATTACCTTCCAAATCTACCTACCTAAACAGGATTAGGATCAAGCAGTCACTCCAAACACCCTTCTTGTTCCCTGATGCAAGGATAGTAATTATGATAATGTTTCCTACTCCAATTATAGGTGCATTCTATTTTGCCACAGACAAAAGTATGTTACAAATATGAATTTTAAAATGCACTTTAGGGTTGCAAATTTTTGTAATGACTTTTAATTACTTTTGTAAATTATTGACAACAATGTGATAATTCAGTCTGGTAGAAGTAGGGGGTGGTAAGTAAAATAAAACAAAATTCAATTAAGAAAACAAGAATTAGAAAGGATGATTTAACTCAGGCTGGGTATGATACTGTGAGAAACAAGGAAGACTTCACTGGTCCAGGGAGGTCACTCAAAAAAAAGATTTAATCACTGTGAGAAAGGGATATTTTCCCAGTAAACTAAAGGTAAAGAAGGCCTTCAGAAAGGAAATTGGTTAAAAGAGCTTCTAGAAAGATTCCAGGGCAGCTAGGTGGCACAGTGAATAGAGTGCAGGGCCTGGAGTCAGGAAGACTCATCTTCATAAGTTCAAATCTGGCCTCAGATGATTACTGGCTGTGTGACCCTGGGCAAGTCACTTAACTCTGTAAAATGAGCTGGAGGAGGAAATGGCAAACCACTCCGGCACCTGTGTCAAGAAAACCCCAAATGGAGTCATGAAGAGTAGGATAGGACTGAAAGACAACAATGAGGAAGGTATTGTAGGATTACTTAG